ACTTCGAATTTTTGTAACAGGTTATATTAGTTTAATACAGAGTATTGCGATACATAGTAAGTTCCCGGATAGTGGAGAAAGGTTCGTGTTGAGAATAAACCCAGTTTGGAAGTTCTAGTCTCTGAAAACGCACCAGCAAACCGGCCCGAGTGATTCACTCGGGCATTCCTTCGCACAAAATGATAGGGAGGCTTTGTAACCCTATCCTCTTGGGTTTGGGTTACATTATTGAATATTGTAGGCCTATCTAGCTGCCAGTGCGCTCAACGCGGAGTCAACTCTCAACCATTTCTCAAACTTGACATCTCTGCGAGAAACGATTCAATTCGCGACAACTGTTCTAAAACCGCCCCATATTATAATTTTCCAGGACAATTACATATCAATACGATTAATTACGTGGTTAGGGCACTTATTATGTTGGAAGTACATGAACAATTATATTTACCGTTAGCCTACTGTCAACAAATATTAGAGGCACGGAACCGGAACGCGAGATCGATCCCAGCGCCAATAAAGGTACCACGTGGGCATATCACGTGTGGCAACCAATGATTGATAGGTTGCGAAAAATAAAGAAATTTTGACGTTTTTATTGATTGACTAGAATAAGAACATTGATTATAGCATGAAATAAAGAAGTTGTTTTTTTAAAGAATTTTCAGGAATACTTGCGCTTTTTAGTGAATGGCACAGGTCGTAGACTGGTACTCGCTCCCACCTCGACATCGAGTAACTAAGCCGAGAGGTGGGACCGGGTACCAGTCTACACAAGTCGGTGCCCGTTTTTTGTGAAAAGGTTTCTTATCGACATAAATATTTATAAAAGAGAATTATCGCTAACAATGAATGAGTAACAAATTACATGATATTGTCTATTGCCATATCATTATCAATTCAATATATTTGATTTTAATTTTCCAAATAAACTGCTGCTGATTTATATGTTTGTGGATGGAAAATGATTAGGTTAGTTGTACAAAGTGTACATCCTACTACAGCCCACAGGGGGCACTAGCTGTCTCGTCAGCAAACTGTACTCGGCTCATACATGATGTATGTTGTTGTCTCTTTATTATTACTAAAACTAATAGTATTACTAGTAGTATAGTATTTGTATTATATTATCGTGCTCATACTCGTACATCGTGTAAGTTCTTATTGGTAGGTTGGATTTTTGTTTGGTTGGTTATGGATTTTGGTGTGGGTTACCCGGTTAGCCTAGCCCTAGGCCTAGTCCGAGATTCCTCTGACCAATGCCCACACCGACGATTTTGGTGGTTTTGGTGTGGGTTACCCGGTTAGCCTAGCCCTAGGCCTAGTCCGAGATTCCTCTGACCAATGCCCACACCGACGATTTTGGTGGTTTTGGTGTGGGTTACCCGGTTAGCCTAGCCCTAGGCCTAGTCCGAGATTCCTCTGACCAATGCCCACACCGACGATTTTGGTGGTTTTGGTGTGGGTTACCCGGTTAGCCTAGCCCTAGGCCTAGTCCGAGATTCCTCTGACCAATGCCCACACCGACGATTTTGGTGGTTTTGGTGTGGGTTAGGGTCGGTGCCTAACCCACACCAAAACCACCAA